GACTCGTACGCTCCTCTTCCAGGAAGGTCCTGGCGCTGCTGTCGTGTCCCAGTGCCCCGAAAAGAGGTCCTTGTCTCAGCGTCTTGACTGTACGGGGTCCCCGGAAGGCTGGACCTTTTTCTCCCAGGACCGGCTCTCGAGAGACCAGAACAGCCACTCTCATCATAAGCACCCCGACACGTAAAGCTGTTTAGCAAACATGCACGCACACACAAGGCAGGAATCGAACAGGGCAGTGCTGTTCAGTACACGGCCAGGGCCGTATAGTAACGCCAAATATGGGGTGCTCTTTCCTCCCTCGACTCCTCATCCTGACCCGCACTGAGTCTCTCGAGACGTTGGAGGTCCGGAAGCTCCCCCCTCCCCTCCCTCCCTCCCCTCGGGCACTCCCTCGTGGGCGTCCCAGGCCGGACGGCCAACTGCCGCATGGGGGGGGGAAGGAGAGCCCAGAATCGAATCGACAAGTTGGATCGGCGATGGACATGAATCGGATCGGCGGAAATCGGCAGCCGAGTCGGGAAAAGCCGAATCGGCGGAAATCGGCAGGCCAGCATGCCTCCAATAAAAGGTCATGCCCCAAATCGGAATCCCAAGTCGAATCGAATCGGAATCGGAAGCCATCGACATCGACTCGAATCGAATCGGAGGAATCGAAAATGAGCTCTGGGGGGAGGGGCGGCTCTGAAGGGTGCGGTCTGCGAAGGGCGCGGCTTGCAGCGCGCACACCTCGGGGGGGCGGGCGAGAGGACCTCGCCAGCGCGAGGTCGGGCATGTCCCCCTACAGGGCGTCTTTTGGAGGAAAAGTTGAACATAGTCAAAAACAAAAAACGAAAATTGTCAGAAATGATAAGGAAATCATCCCCATATCATTTGCTGTTGACCGTTACTGAACATATCTCCTGTAGAGAGAGGGACAGGCCCGACCTGACGCCAGCGTCCTCCGCCGCACCCGCCGAGGGTCGCGCGGCGCCCCCCACAGGCCCCAGCGGCACAGGCCGCAGACCACACCTTGCCATCGCTCGGACGCCCGTCTTCCGCGCATCCTTCGACCTCCCGCGCGTGCCTCTCTCTCGCTCGCCGGCTGCTCCACGAGCTGCTCCTCGGCGGCCCTCGCCGAGGCAAAAGCGCGCACACGCCCGGGCGATGCCACGCGCTCCCCCCCGCGGCGCCACCCCTTCCCCTCTCCTGGTTGGCGGCGCGCACAAGGGGGGTGGAGGGAGGGGGGAGGGCTTCTTAGAAGGAGGCTGCTTCTTAGAAGGCGGCGGCCTCACATCTGTAGATGGGGCCCGCGCCTTCTAAGAAGCAGGGGTGCTTCTAAGAAGCCCTCCCCCTCCCCCCACCCCCCTCTGCGCGTGGCTGACCTGGGCCGCCGCGGGGCGGGGCGGGCGCGCGGCGTCCTGTCCGCCTCCCACCGGCGCATCTTCTCCTCCTTCCGCACCCGCTCCTCCTCCTTCCGCCGCCGCTCCTGCTCCGCCTGGGAACGGGGGGGGCGCCGAGGCCGACGAGGCCGCGCCGCGAGGCGGGCGCCGGGGCGCCCCCGCGTCCGGAGCCGCTCCGCTCCGCTCCTGCGGCCTGGAAGTCCCGGCCCTTTCCCCGGGTCCCGTGTCTCATCCCGAGTCGTGTGCGTGACGGTCCCGATCGGTCCGGCGAGGGCACCTCCGACGCCGAACATTACCAGATACCTCCCGTCCGGACTTTCTTTCACGGCGCCATCCTGTCTGGGCTTGCAGGGCCCCCAGGAGGAGGGTCACGTCGTTCATTTCCAATCGTGCTCATTTCTCATTCTGCTCGTTTCTGATTGTTCCCGGCCCCCTAGTGGCCAGGAAGAGACCCAGGATAGAACAGTTAGAGATGAAAGGACCTTGGCCCCCCCCAAAACAAAACATTAATTTTCGAAGTATAGAAATGAACGATGTGCACCCCCAAAACGAACACCCAGGAGGCGGGCACTCCGGAGGCCCCGGGCAGCTTCCCGCCGCCCCTCCCCGGGCCTCTGCCGCGCCATCTACGGGCCAACGGGACCAGCCGCGAGCGACTCCCACGAAGACGACGACGACGACGACGACGAGGAAGAACTGGTTTGGGGGAGAGGCCCCCGGGGGGCTAGGGCGCCTCGCTCCTCCGAGGCGTCCGGAGCGGGGGCCTCCCCGACGAGGCGGGCGCGGGGAAGTCCGCACCGTGCACCGCCGAGGCACCGGCGAAGCCGCGGCACGGGCGAGGAGGCCTTGGCCCCCGAGCGACCCGCACGCCGCTGGTGCATCGGCCCGCCTCTACTCGGGCCCCCAAGGCCTGGAGGCATGGAGGCCATGGAGGAGGAGGAGGAGGAGGAGGAGGAGGAGGAGGAGGAGGAGAAGGAGGAGGAGGAGGAGGAGGAGAAGGAGAAGGAGGAGGAGGAGGAGGAGCAGGAGGAGGAGGGGAGGAGGAGGAGGAGGAGGAGGAGGAGGAGGAGGAGGAGGAGGAGGAGGAGGACACGGAGGAGGAGCAGGAGGAGCAGGAGGCGGAGGAGGAGGAGGCGGAGGCGGAGGAGGAGGAGAAGGAGGAGGCGGAGGAGGAGGCGGAGGAAAGAGGGGCATACCCGTCACGCATGCCTGAGCATCCCTATAGAGGGCTCCGCTTCTGCGGACCCCCAGCGGCCCTCAGGGGAGCAACAACAAACCTCCACAGGGCCCCTCCCCCCGAGAGCGCTCCGAAGAGACCCCGAAGAAGCATCCATGAGGACTTTGCCACGCGTCAGCGTCGCCGTCGTCGCTACCGCCGCCGTTGTCGTCGTTCACCTTCAGGGTGGGCGGCACCGGCCGCGAGGCCTTCGCAATCTCCACGGGGCCCCTGCCAGTGGTTACCAGCCTGGAACATATCCCTATCCCTATGCTGGGCATCTCCTCATCACGATGCCAATCTGAGGGATTCCCTCATTTTTTGAGGGCGCATCCCTAAGACTGTCATCGCCTTTTGGCGTGTCAATCTTAGGGATAGAGATAAGTTCGAGGCTGGTACAGTGGGGCGACCTTTTTGGGGGGCATTTTTGAAGTATTTTTTGATTTTGACCTTTTGGGGCATTATGGGGGCATTTTCGGTGCATGATTGGGGTATTTCTTGGGTATGTTGGAGGTATTGTTTGACCTTTTTGGGGCATGTTTGGGGTATTTGTAAGTTTTTCGTCGAAAATCCCCCTGCAAGGGGATAGGCCCGGCTTAATGCCGGTGGGGCGACGATCGAGAACTGGGCGCAAAAGCACCGCGCCTGCCTGGGCACAGACTGGGATCCCGGGCTCCCTCGGTGCGCAGGCCTCCCTGGCACCGGGCCAGGAGGGCGTGTGCGTGGGCACCCGTGCTCGGCTCCGAGGAGGGTCCTGGCCAGGATCGGCGCATTTCCTCGGCCATAATGCGGGATGACGATTAATAAAAGATGGGAGAGAACGATTAAAACAAAAATAGTTTTCTGCTATTTCTGCATAATTTTCTGACTGGGGGAGAACGATCAAAAAAATAGTTTTCCAGCCCGCGGCCGGTTTTTTCTAATCGTCATCCCGGGCGCCGCCGCGTGAACACGACCCCCGGTCATTTATTAATCGTCATCCTCCATTACCCCTACCCCCCACGATTTCTGGGGGGGAGGGTGGGGTTCACTTCGCTCGGGGTCCTGGCCAGGATCGGCGCATGTGCGCGGCCATGCACACAGGAACGGCCCTAGGTTTAAGTCGGGCCTGTCCCCCTACAGGGGGATTCGACGATAAATAAAAAATGCTCCGAAAATAGTCCAGAAATATTCCAAAAATAGTCGGGGGATTATTTTTTAAATATATTTTGACATTTTTTGGGGTATTTTGGGGGTATCTTTTATTTTTCGTCGAAAATCCCCCCGTAGGGGGACACGCCCGACATAACCCTAGGCAGCATCTAGACGAGGTGGCACCGTTTCGCGTGTTCTTGATTTGAGAGGGTGCTATGAAGTACCCTGAGGGGCCGCGGGGTAACCAACACACAAGCGCGCAAGACTCTGCTATCGCACCGCGCTCGGCGATCGGGGGACCGCAGTGGGCCCGCACCAGAGATCACTGCGGCGGAAGGTCACTTACGACGTTGCTATCGCACCGCGCTCGGCGATCGTGGGACCCCAGTGGGCCCGCACCAAAGGTCACTGCGGCGAAGGGCCCCTTTTAGATACGATCGATGTGCACATCCCAAGGCGCAGATGTGTTGCTGGATTTGCACGTGCCATACAGTAGATGCAATACAATGCGACCCCTGTTTCTGGCGCAGTACTCGGGGATGACCAGAATCCCCTTTAGCAAAACGTGGCTTAGTGAAAACGACCTCGGGCACCAACCTGGCGGGCGCAAGCCTGGAGAAATGACGGCCGCGGCGCCCTCTCGAGAACCGAAGACGGACAATTCACCAATCGACGTGTCAGGGTGGGGGTTCTGTCCACCCCCGATCCTTGCACCACCCCCTTGCAGCTGGATCCCCTTTGGGTCCACCAGATCCACGCTCGGTGCGCCCGCTGTGCTGCACAGCAGCTGCGCGGCTCTGGCTCCCACCTCCCCGAGCGCCGCGCGCGCGCCGCCTGCTCTTCCAGCTGCTTCTGCCGGGCCTCCGCGCGCCGCTGCCTCTCCTGCGGGGCCGAGGGGGCCACGGTGCTGCGAGCTGCTGCAGTCGGACCTGGGCCAGAGGAGCATCCCACAAGAACACGAAACCCTCCGTCAGCCAGACAAATCAAGGCATCTGAGGGAGCCCCTCCCCGGGGAGGATGTACGAGAGCATCCCGGCCGACACGAAGCACGCCAGGGCACCCTCCCCGAACCGACCCCGATCCTGTGGCTCGGTACGGCTGTGCCGTGCGGAAATGCTGCAGGAGTGATGGCGAGACCCATGCTTGGCCCCACCAGCAGCGGTGGGGTGCACGAGGAGCGCGAGGAGCGCGGCCGTGAAGCACTCCGGGAGCAGCGAGCCCCTGCCGCACCCGAGCCGCTCCCTTGTTTCGGCAACCGGGCTCTGCGCTCCCGCGCGCCCGTCCTCCCGCCCCCCCCCCCCACCGGGCTTTCGACGTCGTGGCTTGCTCCATGCCGGCGTTCAACGACGCGTGTGCCGCGTGTGCCGCGTGTGCGTCGTGTGCGTCGTGGGACGTCGCCGTCCGCGGCAGCTGAAACCGCGCGTCCAAGAAACCAGGGCCAACCGTTCCCTGGCGAGGCCTTGTGCGACCGCTGGGCCCGCCTGCGCGCGCCCCCCCCTCGGGGATTCACGGGGGACCGAGGGATCCGGGCCAGCCACCCCAAGGGTTCGGACTGATCGGCATAGCTGAATGCGCAGCGACTGGAAACGATCGAGGCGGACGCTTCAAAACGGAAACTTCAAGAGGTCCGGACTCCTTGGATCTCCTCCTCCTCCTTCTCCCCCTCCTCTTCCTATTCCTCCTCCGCCTCCTCCTGGTCCTCCTCCTCCTCCTCCTCCTCCTCCTCCTCCTCCTCCTCCTCCTCCTCCTCGGCGCTGGACCCCCTTCCCGGTCTCATTCGCAGGCGCGCGGACCGCGCCAGTGAAGGACTCGAGGCTCCGCCCCAGTTGCTGGCAGGAAGGGGGGGCAAGCGCCAAACCCAAGAAGCGCGCGGGCGGACCCCAGAAGACCACGGATGTGCCGTTCTACCACGTTCTGCTAGGCCTTAGGTCGGGCACGCCCCGCTACAAGCGGATTGTTTTACACGGGCTTACAAATAGGTAAAAATAGTCAAAGATGATCAAACACACATGAGAAATCGCCCCGACTATGTTTGACTGTTTGTGAATTTCTTTCCTGTAGAGGACAGGCCCGACTTAATGCCAGTCCCCGAAAGGCCTCTGAATGGATGGGCGCGGCTGCATCCGTCTCCTCCTCCTCCTCTTGCTGCTCCTCCTCCTCCTCTCCATCATCAACATCAACATCATCATCATCATCATCGCCATCATCATCATCGTCAACATCATCAAAAACAGCATCATCCTCCTCACCACCACCATCATCATCATCATCATCATCGTCACCATCATCATCATCATCATTACCACCATCATCACCATCAGCATCACCACCATCATCATCATCGTCATCACCATCATCATCATCATGATCATCATCATCATCAGCATCATCAGCATCATCGTCATCATCATCAGCTCGGCAGCCCGAGCTCGCGGCGCACCTCGGCCAGGCACGCCAGCCAAGAGCCCGCGAAAACGGTTTGGCGGCGCTCCGCGAGGCTTTGCAAGCCGAGCCCCCCGTCAGCCAAGGATAAGCAAGCCTGCTCGCGCGCCCCCGCGGTCAAAGGCTACCCAAACACGTCTTGCAGGTGCCCCAAGACCCGGCGGTCGTAGTCGGCGCACCAGGCCTCGTTGAGCAGTTGTGCGCGCGCGTGGTGCAGGGCGGCCCCGTTCGCACACGTGCGCAGGAGCGTCAGTTCGTCCTGCGCCCGCAGGCCGTGCTGGCGCCGTCAGGTAGGCAACCAAGTGCCGGGTCGCCGTTGTCGCGGTCACCGCCGAGGCCCTCGGCCGCGGCCCCGCCGAGGATGGGCAGGCGGCTGCCCACGCACATGAGCTCGGGCGTCTCCGCTTCGGCCAGCGTCTGCGGCAGCTGCAGATTGTGCGGGTTCCACGCCCTGGTCTTGCCCTCGTTCAGTCGCAGCCCGCGCGCTGCGCAGAGCGCCGGCGCGGCTGCCTTGGCTGCGGCGAGGGCCTCTGGCGCGCCTGCGAGGTAGACGTCGTCCAAGAACGCCACCGCGATGGCGTCCGCGTCCCGCCGCAGCGCGTTCCCCAGGTCCTCGTAGAGGGTCGCCGTGGCCGTGGCGAAGAAGGCCGGCGAGAGGGGGCAGCCTTAGTCGAGCCCCCGCTCTGCTGTCACCGCGGTGACAGCGCCTGAGAGGTTCGCGCCGCGCGTGGTCGTCCCGCCGCACCACGCAGCCGCGAGGCGCGCGAGGGGCGGGGGCCTGCGCGAGACCTCGCGGACGACGACGTCCTGGTCGACCTCGTTGAAGGCGTTTGCCACGTCAAGAGACAGCACTGTCCTCTGGGGTGCTCTCTCCACGGAGCAAGCGACCCCCTTGTGCAGCAGCTCGACGCCGCTGCGCCGCCCCACGCCGCACTGGCATGGCCCCGCCGCTTGGGCGATGAGCTCCCTGTGCTGCGTGGTCGCCGCCTTCGCCGCCATGCGGCGCAGGGTTTCCCCGCGGGCGAGAGGCCGCACCCCGCCCTGTGGTTTCTGGAGCGGCATCAGGCGGCCGCCCAGCAGCGCTCGCGCTGCCGCCGCGGCCTTCCCGCCGCGCAGGATGCAGCCCAGCATCTCCACCAGCGCCGCCTTGCCTTCCGCGTGGCCGCGTAAGGTCGCCCAGTGTTCGAAGCGCGCGCCGGTGAGCCCCAGGCCGGAGTGCCGCGGGAACTTCTTGAGGGATCGGGTCACCTCCTCGGCAGCTGCCTCCTCCCACTCGCCCGCCTGCGGCAGCAGCGTCTCGCGTGCCCGTGGCCCGCCTGCTGGGGGGAAGATCGCGGTGAACTGGGAGCCTGCGCCAGCCCCAGAGGCTAGTTTCCCTGGCCCCCCCGCGGCCGCGGCGGCCCGGGACGCCCCCCCCTCCCCGAGCACCAGCAGCTCGTGCACCCGGCGGGCCTGCGCCGCCAGGTCTGGCGGGCGACGGCCGCCCCCGTCGCCGTCGCCACGGCGCGCCGTCGCCGCCCAGAGGCTGGCGCAGTCGCCCGCCCACGCCTGTCGGATCCTCGCTGCGAGAATCTTCGCGGCAAACGTGGCCTCCCGCTCGTCACCACTCCTGGGGGGGATGGCAAAGAGCAGGCGCGGCAAGAGCAGCAGTCGCGCCCAAGCGCCCTCCCGGGCAGGCTGCGCAGCAACCGTTTTGAGTACGGCTGCCAGAGATTCGCCCACGCCTGCGGCAAGGCTGTCCGGGACGGCCGTCCAGGTCGGCACCAGCTCGCGGAGCGCGCACGCTAAGTCCAAAGAGCCCCACCACGGGAGCCCAGGGAGCTCGCCCCTCTCAGCCGCCACCGTGTGGCGGGGCTCCAGGTCGCCCGCTGGCGTGTTGTCGTCATCCTGCGTGTTCGCCGCCTCGCGGGCGCCAGCTGCCAGTTGGCTCGCGGCCGCCGCCCCAGCCGCGCCGCCCACCACGCAGGCTAGGACCTCCGCCCGCGCCTCCTCGGGCAGAGCCGCAAGGCCTTCCACGGTGCCTGCGGGGATGCCCCCGGAGATGCAGGCAGGGTGCCTGAAGCAACGGTCCGGACTGCCACGGCTGGCCAGCCGCACCTCTTGGCGGCCGAACCTTTCGCAGCACGCGTATAGCAGAGGGCCACGTGACGGCGCACTGGGTGCAGGGTCGCCGTCCACACCCTGGTCCGCGAGACGGCCCTGGGAGCTGGAGAAGGCGCGGGAGGCACACCACCAGCACCTGCGGCCATCCCCGAGGCAGCAGCGGCCCCGACTATGCACCGCCAGGATGGGCTGCTCCAGGGGGCGCGCCGTGCCCTTCCCTGCGTGTTTTCGCGTTCCTCGCCGTCCTCGCCTCGCCTTCGTCCCCGCCCTCCTCCTCCAGCTCCATATGGTCCCTGGCCGGGTCTGCAGGATCCACGTCGAGCTTCATGCCGAGAGGCGCCTGTCGCCAGGAGCTCCTCCTGCTCCTTCTCCTCCTCCTCTCCCTCGTCCTCCTCCTCACCTCCTCCTCCTCCTCCTCCTCCTCCTCCTCCTCCCCCTCCTCCCCCTCCTCCCCCTCCTCCCCCTTCTCCCCCTCCTCCTGTTCGGCACGCTCCACAGTTCAGCGGTCGGCTTTGTCCGACTCCCGCCGGGACGGACTCCCTGTGCGGCCCACGGGCCCACACAGTCGAGGACGAAAAACCGACTTGGCAGTGCCAGTGCTCGACCTCTCACCGCTGGCTGTCCCCCGCGGGCGCGTCGGAAAAACAAAAGCCTGACAGCTGGCGGCGCGCACGAGGGGGTAATTAGAGGGAGGGGGAGAGCTTCTTAGAAGGCGGCTGCCTCTTAGAAGGCGCCGGCCGCCCTTCTAAGAAGCCAGGGGGGGCGCTTCTTAGAAGCACCCCAGTGGCTTCTTAGAAGCAGGGAACTGCTTCTTAGAAGCAACTATAGCTTCTTAGAAGCAGGCCACTTGCTGCTTGGAATCACGACAGGAACAGCTTCTGAAAAGCAACCATAAGAAATCTTCCCCTTCCGACACCGCCCCTTCTGCGCGTGGCAGAGACTGGGCCATGACTTCTGGGACATCTCCCGGGGCGCGTTCTGATCAGGAATTCGAGGCGAATCTGGCCGTGGCGATATGGCGACAGGGGGCAAGCACAGTAGTAGACGCATGCGATAAGCAATCTCGCTGCAGGGGAGACCCATGCCAAGAACTACCATGTGTGCCTCCAGGGTGCCCCGGGTTTCTTGGATATTCGATGGATTTGCTATGGGAAGCGTGACGTTCCCACACCAACAATCAGTGGACGTCATGGGGTCTCAGGGTTAGGTTTCTCGTGAAGGTTTCTTGTGGACTCGCCTCCACCGTATCAGAAAGAAGCCCACCCAGGGGGCACGTTGTTAGTCGAGCTTTGACCCTCCTGAGGTGCCCCCCGGGCTTCTGTGACTCCTCAGGGCTATATCGGGGGGCAAGACACTTCCGTGGGGCACCTGCCGGCAGGCCGACCTCTTACTTCACGTGCCTACTGCAGCGGCATCGGCCTGCTTTCGGGATCCACCAAGACGGGGGGGCGACCCTGAGGGGGGGCATGAGATCGCTCCGCTGGTGCACCGAACGGCCGCAAACAAGTGCCCCCCGCATGATCCACCCATCGGCAACAATCGGGAGCTGCCGGCGGCTGGGGGGCATCTGTGTTGGGCGGTTCGGTGCAAACGGCGATCGAACTCACACACACACACACCAGGCCACCCCCCCCTTTTACGGGATCCCGATCCTTTCCTCCCCTGGGGAGATGGAGGCCTCACAATTGGGGACCGAGTAGATGGGGTCGGAGGATCGCGCCGCATCGTCGATGCATGGGCGATGCGTAAGCGATGCCGGTACGGAGACAGCCGAGCTACGAATCGAGCCGCAGCGCCGCAGCGCCGCTGCACCGGCACTGCAGCGCGAGCCTCCCGCGCCGCCTGCTGCTCGGAGGCGTCGGCGACGCGGCGCGAGCCTCCGACGCCACCCACTGGGAGCCCGGGGAGGCCCGGAGAGCAGAGGCGGCTCGGCCCGCGGCGGTCCTCCTCCCGCGCCATGCGGCCCTCCTCCCACTGGCGCCGCTTGCCTCCGCCAGGACGCGGGGGGGGGGCGTGCGGCGGGGGGGGCCGGCAGGACCGCTGCGCGCGCCGGGGGGGGCAGGTGGCGGCCCGCAGGCCCAGGCCCGAAGGGCCCGCCCCCCCCCCCCCCCGGAAGCCCGCGCAGCAAGAAGCCGCGCCACTCCGGCGAAGGGTCCCTGCAACGTGTACTGAGTCGGGCGTGTCCCCCCTACAGGGGGGAGTTTCGACGAAAACTCAAAGATACTCAAAAAAATACCCCCAAATGGTCAAAACATGCTCAAACAGTACTCCCCAGACTATTCCATACCTAGGCTCTGCCTAGAAGGGTTCCTACTCTGTGTGCTTAAAGCGCCGTGCAGTGGGGCACGCCCCGGGCGGTTCCCCCGGCATCCGCCCCGCGGTTCCCCCAGTTGCGCCCCCTGGGTTCACCCGGCTTAGCTTAGTTTAGCTTAGCTTAGCTTATCTCATCTTAGCTTAGCTTAGCTTAGCTTGGCTTAGCTTGGCTTGGCTTGGCTTGGCTTGGCTTAGCTTAGCTTAGCCCAGCCTAGCTTAGCTTAGCCTAGCTGGGCGTAGCTTAGCTTAGCTTACCTTAACTTAGCTTAGCGCAGCATAGCGCAGCGCAACATTAGCACAGCATGGCAAAGCATAGCCAATCACAGCATAGCATAGTATAGCATAGCATAGCATATCATAGCGTATCATAGCTCAGCATCGTATAGCATAACATAGCATAACATAGCACAGCATAGCGCAACATAGCATAGCATATCATGGTATTGCTTAGCATATCACAGCGCAGCATAGCATAGCATAGCATAGCATATCATATCATAGCATAACATTGCGCAGCATAGCATAGCATAGCATAGCATAACATAGCATAGCAGAGCAGAACATAGCATAGCATAGCGCAGCACAACATCCACTATTGCTGCTGCTAATGTTGATTTCCTAGAGGCGCCAACTCCTATGTAGGGTCGCACTGGGATATGTTTCACTATGTTTGAACTTCCCCCCTGTAGACGGCCGACTGAAAACGTACAGCCGAGCCGCGGACGGGCAACCCCACAAGTGTGGATCGTCTGTTCCAGGGCAGCATGCAGCGTGGGCTCCGAACAGAGCGCTTCGGGGGGCGTGCGGTGACGTGCGGCACGAGAATCGTCGGGCAGGCTACTCCGCACTGCACACTACTCAAGACTTCTCGGCTCTGCTCCGCTCGGCTCTGCCCTAACCTGCCCTACGATGCGTCAGCGTGCTCTATGCCACGACACTCCTCTACACTGCGCCGCCTGCCCGCCGCAAGGAGCTTCGGTGCTTCCTCGAACTCCCGCCAGGGCTGCGCGCCTCCCTCGGCCATACGGCGGGCGACGGCCCGCCCGTCCCCGGGCTGAGCTGCGGGGTAGGGTACTGGCCAGCTCCCAGGCCGCACGGTCCAAACTGATAGGAAGGGTGCGGGATAAGGAGGCAAGCTCCTTGGACACCCATGTCCCCCGCCCGTCCCCGAGCTGAGCTGCGGGGTAAGTTACTGGCCAGCTCCCAGACCGTACAGCCCAAACTGATAGGAAGGATGCGGGATCAGGAGGCAAGCTCCTTGGACACCCATGTCCCAGCTCTTCGAGCGGGGCGGGCCATGGGTACAGGATGAACCGATGAGGCAAGGATGCACGGGTAGCCTTAGGGAGGTTGCCCATCCTTACCATCGGCTTCGACCGTACTCGCCGGCTCCGCGGCCGTATCGGCCTTCAGCTTGACCACCTCCGCTTCCTGGTCTTCCCCGTCGGCCCTCCAGGCTTGCCACAGGTGGCGGCGGATCTGCGAGCCCCTCGCGAGCCCCGTCCCTGGCGCACCCGACCGTGCCCTTGCAGGGGGGCCAGGCCCAGCGCCGCGAGCAACTTGAAGGTAGAATCCTCCCCGACTCTCGCTTCCTGGACGGGGTGCCTCAAACTCAAACAGGGGCGCCACCCATTGGCCACGCCTATGACTTCAAAGGGAGGAGAAAGGTAGAAGGAGGAGCATGAGGAGAGGGAGGAGGAGGAGGAGGAGGAGGAGGAGGAGGAGGAGGAGGAGAAAGAGGAGGAGGAGAAAGAGGAGCAGGTGGAGAAGGAGACGGAGGAGAAGGAGACGGAGACGGAGGAGGAGGAAGGAGGAGGAGGAGAGGAGAAAGAGGGAGGAAGAGGAGGAGAGGGGAGAGGAGGAGGAGGAGGAGAAAGAGGGGGAGGCGGAGGCAGGGAGGAGGGAGGAGGAGGAGGAGGGATGAGGAGGAGGAGGAGGGAGGAGGAGGAGGAGGAGGAGGAGTTGGAGGAGAAGGACACCCTCCTAACCTCCTACCCCCTCGTGGATGAACCACACGGGTCCTGAGGGAAGCGGGTCCAGAACCCCCAGGCTTCCCCACAAGGCTTGGGTCGCTCTATGCCGGTCAATGGGCTGCAGGGGAAGGCCAAGGGCGGCCCCAAACCGGGGAAAACCTCAGGACACGTCTCCCTCAACGCCCGCTTGCTTCACTAGAGTCACTAGAGGCCTCCGAAATGGGGTTGGAGGATCGCGCCGCATCGGCGATGCATCGGCGATACATCGGTGCCGTCGGCGGTGCATCGGCGACGATAGTGGAGAGAACATCGGGACCCCCGCAGCGAGCTGCATCGCCGGATGCACCGGCGCTGTGGCGCGATCCTCCGACCCCCGTCTCCCTAAGACCTCCTCCGGGAGGCCTGGCAGACGCCGGGGCAACGCCTCGGGACACGTCTTCTTCGGCGCCCGCTCGCCGCGCGGCGCCCTCCGCCGCCCGCGCCCGACCCGGCGCGACGCGCCGCGCCGCGCCGCGCCGCGCCGCGGCGCGGGCGCCACGCGGTGGCTCAGGCGGCCGCCCCGCTCGCCCCGTCGAGGAGCTCGGGCGGCAGGATGAACTGCGCGAGGCTCGGGGTCTCCTGGGGCCCCCGGCGGGCGAGGGCGGCGCGCCCGCGGGCGAGGCGGGCCGACGGGCGTGGCGCCGGCCACGGGCGGAGCCGACCACGGGCGAGGTCGATCTCGGGGCCGAAGCGCGCAGGGCAAGGAGCGACCGGGGCGAAACCGACGGGGGCCACGAGACGAAGCGCTGTGGTTGCGAAGCCTCGCGACAAGCGCATGAGCAGTGGAGACACGCTAGCGTGGCGCGCCAGACCTCCGCACAGCCGTCTGCCAGCTGTCTGCTGGGATGGTATCCACATCCTCTCAGGACGAAGCAGACGGGGCGAAGCGGGCCGGGCGAAGCCGATCGAGGCGAAGGCGACCCGGGCGACACCGGCCACGACCTGGCCCTCCTCCACCCTCCCTTTCCCTCCGAGAGGACAGGGAACCCGGCGACGGTCGAAGGGATCGCGCGAGGATCTGGAGGAGCAGGAGCAGATGGAGGAGGAGGACGACGAGGACGAGGACGAGGACGAGGACGAGGACGAGGACGAGGACGAGGACGAGGACGATGATGATGATGATGATGATGATGACGATGATGATGATGATGATGGTGATGATGATGATGATGATGATGATGCTGATGATGCGGATGCTGCTGATGCTGCTGATGCTGATGCTGATGCTGATGCTGATGATGCTGATGATGCTGCTGATGATGATGATGAAGATCACAATGAAGATGAAGATGAAGATGAAGATGAAAATCATGATGCTGATCATGATGCTGCTGATGATGACGACGACGAGGAGGAGGGGCAGGGGCGGTGGCAGCGGGACCTGGGGAATGTCAGGGACCGGGGGGCCTCCTCTTCCTTTCGCAGGGCCCGAGTCCTTGTTAGGACCGGGGCGAGGCCGTCGAGGGGCATGCGAAGGTCGGGCAGAGCCGAGAAGTGAGAGGAGCTTGCGCAGGGGGGGGAGAAGGCGAAGGAGGAGGAAGAGGAGGGAGGATCAGGCCGAGCGAGGAACGGAGGTAGGAGGAAAGGAGGGAGGTAGGAGGAGGAGGGAAGCAGGGGCGCGGGGCGGGGGGTGGGTGGGACCTGGGGAATGACAGGGAGAGGGGCCTCCTCCTCCTCCTCCTCCGC